ATTCACGGTCATTTTTTACAGTGTATGTTTAGCTTTGACTTCTGCCGATTGTATTTGGGCTTCAAAATTCATAAAAGTTGTTCATTTGTGAAGAATGATGAAGAAACCGTGTAAGAATCATAAACTTTTGTTTGGTCACAGAGCTTATTTTCGGCAATAATCCAAAAGTCAGCTGAAAAATCCTATTGGGTTTTTGTCGAGGGAAGCAGGGTGATGCAAACTTCTGGGTTGGCCTACAAAAACCATCATTACTGAAGCACTCGATTCCTTTATGTAAGAGGAAATGCACAAGAATACTGAAATCATGTCCATTTGGCAAATTTCTGATTACGGTTTTGATTTGTTTTTAACTCGAAGCACTGTTGTGGTCTCATTCCCAAACCACTGATCTCATGCTGTTGTTTATGACTCTGTGGAACTAGGTCTGATGCATTAATAATGCATGACATTTATCATGAAGGCATCGTAAACGGAGCATCATAAGACCACATCATAAGGATGCAGCCCCCCTACAGTGCCGGGGATGATTTCACTTTGGAGTCAGGAGAGTCAGAATCATGTCCGATGTATCCCAGCAGCTCATCAGCTTCTTCAGCCTCTCCACACTGGAAGCAACCGAATGGAGGTCTCTTCAAAAGACCTCCTGCGTAATCAACAGATTATGTCCCGCTGCCGTAAAAGCACTTCGCTCACACTGCTAATGGCCTGTGGTTACCCAACAAAACTGCTATTCAGAAATGATTGTTCTGTTTTAAACATGACTGTTTCAGTTTTTAATTATACTATTTATTGTTCTGCCCTGTTCTGTTTTAAAATTTTAATTTTTTACTGAACAATGCAATAGGCTATAGAACAAAAACACTGTGAAAAGACAGTGAGGTAGCCTATGGTGCCACAACTCAGCATGTACATTTTGAATAATCAGGCCTCAAGTTAATTAGTAGTGTTTGATAAAGCCGAAAGTATGCTTAAAAGGTACATTTGAAATAAACAATCTAGTAATGTTGCGTTTGACACTGAATTGACTTCGCATAGGTGCCAACATAATCTGAACTAGTCGAAGATGATGGAAAACACTACTAAACCAACAAGAGCTGGAAATAACAAAACTGGATATACACGGCAGCTCTCCAGGTATCCACATTTTGTACAACACGAGCTTTGAAACAGGCGTGGAGCGCATGCGCCGAACGCATTCATTAATGGTCAATGACCGTTCAGAAAGATGAAGCATAATTTGTGATTGAACCAGACACTTAAGTTGTAAATGTAATATTACTTTTAAGCATTTTTGTTTTGTGAGTGCCACTGGCTGTATCATTCACAATAACTGTAAGATCCATCTTGATAATGAATCATCAAATTGGCACGTCTGTTCATTACTTCCCTCGTGTTCTCCTGACAAACAAATTTCTTCATTAACAAAGCATCATTCACTGATACTCAGTCCCTCATAAATATTCATTTTTATGTACCTAAGCTAATTATACACTTTGCCAGGAAAATGTCGCTGTTTATGTGATTAATGTTACTTAGGAATAAGCAGGTTAGATAAATTACTCATTGTCGATAGACTCGATACTGAGTTTGTACTGTTTAGGCCTATATTCATTTGCTATAGCACAATACACCAAAAAAAGACAAAAAAATTTCGGGTGAACTATTCCTTTCATTTGGTCCTTGATCTGTTGGTTAATTAAACTTATAGCAGAGATAAAAACACAGCCCTGTTTCACCAAAGAAGAGTTATTTTAAATTGTAATAATATTTTACAATATTACTGTTTTTTGTTTTTGTTTTGATCAAATGAAAATGTTATCTTTTTAGTTACATAAATAAAAACTGTGATTTTTACTACAGTATATTCAAATAGAGAAGAGTTATTTTAAATTGTAATAATATTTTACAATATTACTGTTTTTTGTTTTTTTGATCAAATGAAAATAATTTTATAATTTCCCCCCTGAAATGGTTCTTTGTGTTGGAGTTTAGAGTTCTTTATTCCCGCCTTTTTGTTTTTAAATCAAATCAATTTAAATTTAAATCAAATCAAAGCAACCTCATTACTGATTATCAGTGTTGCCAAGTCCGCGGTTTTCCGCGGAATTGGGCTACATTAACACTGTTGCTGCGGGTTGTTTTTCATGTCCGTGGGTTGAAGCCACCCCAATAACCTGATATTTAGCCCCTGGAATGCGATTTTTACCAGGGAACCCCCCTCGAAACCAGATTGGGCTAGTTTTGGGCTAGTTTTGAGTAGCAATTGGGCGGGTTTTGTTGCGAAAACCTGGCAACCCTGCTGATTATCTGGAGCTCAACCATCCAGCTACACACAGACTGTCAACACTCTCAACAGGTAAATGATTTCATTCTTAAAATGTTGTTTTGCGGGGTGTACTTTGATCTTAATACCTTTAACCTTATTAATTATTATTCTCAGATTAGGTAAAGTAAGTCGAGTCTGGCTTTAATTAATTATAAGCATGTCAAATTACTTACAACTTGGTCAGAAGACTTCTTTGTGGCATGTTTTTGTTCAAAGTCTTAAAACACTGTAAATCAAAGCCTTAGGCAGATTTTGTAATTAATTAAATTTCTTTTAATTGGTTATATTTCTTTTTATAATAAATAAAAATGTTCAGACAAATCATTGAAGTGGTCAGCTCCGTGTTTCTTGTCCTCAGCTAGAGGCTTAGACATCAGGGATTATTTTCCACATACTGTACATTATTGTTTCTCCTCTATGCCCCGCCTTTCTGAAACACGTCGATTTTTACAAAGCTTATCAATCTGAAAACCGAGGTGTGCTCTGATTGGCCAGCTATCCAGTGTGTTGTGATTGGCCGAATACCTCAAGCGTGTGACGGAAATGTTACGCCCCTTAACATACTGTGATGCCCTGTCCCGGCCGGTGTTCTGACAAATAATGCTACCTATCAGATTATGCTACCAACACTGTATTTATCCTACTGTAAGGGTAGGTTTAGGGTTGGGGTAGGTGTACATGTTAATAAAGTCTCACACCTTATTAATATCATGCTGGAAGCAAAATCTGATAGGTTACACTTTTTGCTATCGAATTATGCTACCATCTGTTTTAATGGGAGGTAGCAAAATCTGACAGGGTAGCACAAATCGTCAGAACACCGGAGCAACGTGACAAAAACATTCAAACCCATGAACTGCAATGCTAAAGAGACGGGAGAATGAAATCTTCTGGGCTACGCTGACCAGTTTATATTCTGGCCGGCATTGTAGTCTACTCTTCCAGGATCAGGAAACAGTCCTCCATAAAATGCGCTGCACACATCTGAATATTTGGATTGAACTCTTCTGGAACAGTGTTGTAAATACAATTTAAGCACTGATTTCTAGTCGTGTCCTCTTTTGGAAGACCAAACAAAGTAGTTTCGCTTTCACAACGAAACACACAGCGTCACACACGGTTGGCTTGAGTGAGCGGAGGCCGGCGGGCTTGAGAACGGCGCGGCCGGTGTTCTGACAAATAATGCTACCTATCAGATTATGCTACCAACACTGTATTTATCCTACTGTAAGGGTAGGTTTAGGGTTGGGGTAGGTGTACATGTTAATAAAGCCTCACACCTTGAAGAAATCATGCTGGAAACAAAATCTGATAGGTAGCACTTTTCGCTATCTAATTATGCCACCATCTGTTTTAATGGGAGGTAGCAAAATCTGACAGGGTAGCACAAATCGTCAGAACAGGTGGCGGATTCGACGAAGGAGCGTCCGGCAGGCGTGCGGCAACCACATGTGACGACCCCGGGCTGGACTCCGCTTCGTCCACGGTGAAAGCCGATCCGGCGATCCACAGCGCAAAGTTGATGTATTTCCTCAGCGCTGTAGACAATACTACAGCGAGAATAAAAGTTATGCCTTCTTTCTTTGCGTGAACATTTGAGTAGACATGCCCCTTATTGCTGATTGGCTACAAGTTTGTTTTGCGATTCGGCCCGAATCAGTTTTCTAAAGTGTTTTGGAAAAATCACTTACTCTGCCTTTAAGTCATTTTAGTGCTGCGAAATGTATAAATAACCTCACTTTGGGAGATTAATAAATTATATTGAGTATACAAACAGCATTCAAAGATGATTGAACATGCTACAGTATCTGTACAGTTCTTCTGCTATAAATGAGCTGCAATATTCTTTAAAAAGATGTGTGGGTGATTGACGGGAGTTGTAAAGAGGACATGACAAACTGCGTCGTACAGGACACAGAAAACAGTATTTCAGAGCACAAGACAGCTGATGAGCACAGCGGGACTCGAAGAGAAGCTGCACATTGAGTCATTATATAAAAAATATATAATATATCTCTTATTAATTCTCAGTTGACCTTCTTGAATGTAGATCAGTGGGCAAGATGAGAACTTAGATAAGGTTTGTCCAAGAAGTTGCTATATTTGTCCCTAAACTTTTGAAAAAAGTCTCAAAAGGGGTGGGGAAGTCGCTAAATCTAGCTACAAAGTAGCTAAATTGGCAACACTGGCGATATTGTCTAGCTTGTCAGTGAACTACGGCTCTGTGTAGTAAATGCCGCTCCATCTGAAAGCAGGTGATGGCGATTTACTACCAATCACGGAACCGGCTTTACTGACGAGATGCACATGACAATCGTATTACATAGGGTAAGAAGGGGAAGCTGTCTTAAAAACATTGTGCATTTGCTTTTAAACTGTAAGTGCAGGATAATGATGCATCAGCCAATGTAAAATTATTCAGAAGCCATCTCCCCCTGGCTAAACTTCAATAGAATGTATACATTATTTTTGATATGATTCTTATTAATATTTATACATTTTTTAAAGTGTCATTAATGTAAAAAACTAAATCAACTGTTCTATTTAGAATTGTATTTTGACAGTTTAGCTGAATAATTGAAGAACTGATGACAGACAAAGCAGAATCCCAGTAAAAGAGATTGATCTGAAAGGGAAATTCATTCTATGACATATATAGAGGCATATGAATAGTCACATATTTAATTTCCCGTATTTTAATTGAAGATATGTCATAATAGCAACACTATGAATTCAAATTAAATTATTTTAGTTAGCCTGTAGGTTTTAATAAAAAAGCAAAGGTGTCTGACATATGTACTGTATCTGATTCATGGAAACACTTAATAATAACCCAATTAATTACAATTTAAAATAATATTAACACTAGTAACAACACTTGGGGCTTTCTGTGCCAGTTCTGGAGGGCTCATTTTACCCCAAGGACTTAATTGTATCTTTTTAGTTCTATATAATTTTTTTTTTTTTCATTATTATTATTATTATTATTTTTAATAAATAAATTCAAAATAAAATATTCAAAATAAATAAATATATATGCAGTATCTCACAGAAGTGAGTACACCCCTCACGTTTTTGTAAATATTGTGTTGAGTTATTTTGAGGGGACAGCAAATTTACACTGTTATACAAGCTGTACACTCACTACTTTACATTGTAGCAAAGTGTCATTTCTTCAGTGTTGTCACATGAAAAGATATAATAAAATATTTACAAAAATGTGAGGGGTGTACTCACTTCTGTGAGATACTGTATATATATATATATATATATATGTAATATTTACACAAATCTAAAGACATGAATGTATCCACAAATCCCTTTATTAACAAATACACACCCACACACACAAAAATATACTTTTCAGATACACAAAAATAGATCAATTAACCTCAAAACTGTTTATAGCATAGCCATTTATCAAGTGATGAGATGAGATTTTGTGCTGTCTGTGGTCAACTTGTAGACAGATTGAAGAAAAAAAACTCAGAACTGAATCTAAATTGGAGAACGATTTGCTAAATTGCTAAAGAAATTGATACTTTTATTTAGCAAGGACAGATCAAAAGATCTGTTTCCATTCCTTCCACTGCTTGTTAAACAAGCCAATTGCTTTAGTGGTAAACATCTGTTGTTTTCCACTCCTGAATGCACATTTACATTAGCTGAACCTGTCTGAAAAATCAAAAACCTGTCAGTTTTTATTCTGCGTTTTGAGCTAAAGAAGCAACATTTGTCATCCTATTGTTGTCAGACAGGTGATTTGACATTTTGAAGATTTCTGGCACTCCTCATTCAAGTAGACCTGCTCCAGTAAGGACTTTGATAGTATGGCCACTTGTATTTGACTCTTTTCAAGATCAAGACCTACAACTTGTGTAAACAGGATGACCCAAAACACTATCGATCCTGAACGTTCACATCACATTGCCTCATGATCGAGTGTGACTCAACATGAAAAACACTTATTGATTCCTCAGATGAAGAGAAGCGGTGAACATAGTCTACAGCGGCGTTTGCAGACATGAGTCGCGCCAATATTTAATGAGGTTTGGCCGGATAACAATGCCAGTGCAAATGTGAGATTTTAATCATTGTAATATGCTTTTCAAACCTTTGTGCTTATTGTACTTAATGAAATGTGATGAATGCAGACAGTACTTCTTTCCTGGAATGGCTCCATGTTCTTGCAGGTCTGTAGTAATCTTTATAACAGATGGGAACATGACCACCAACTCTCCTGCACACCGCTTTTTGAAAATTCTATCACATTTGTCCCTGGGACAATCATCGTTTTTCAAAGTTCCCTTCAGTACTTCAAACTGTTCTTCCGCTCTTGCTTTATTCCACAAGGAACTTAAAATAGTTTAAAATCAGATTATTTTAAGCTCCCCGTGGTAGAAAGTACACTGAAAGAAATTAATTATGCAACTCAAAGCCATTGAGTGCAAATCTTGCGGAACATTTTGATGATTAAACTACCGGTTCTGTGCACCCAGCTGATGTGTTTTGTCCACTGAGGATTGTGAAAACTCATTGCTAAACTGTGACCGAAATGCAAACACTTCTATAGGTAAAAATAACTGTGACAGAAGTGAGCTGTATAATGCACATTCTTTTCTAACTGTAATAGGAAACCCTATTTGACCTCTGCATTCTGTATACATTTATATCCTGCTTGGATAGAAGAAAAAACCTTTCTGGAACTTGGATTCTTTTGTTTAGAGTATATAGACTAGCGTTCAAACGTTTTGGGTTGGTAAGATTTTTAAAATGTTTCTGAAAGAAGTCTCGTAGGTTAGGCTGCATTTTATTTGATCAAAAATACTGTATAAAACAGTAATATTATTACAATTTAAAATAGCTGTTTTTATTCAAATATATTTTAAAATGTAATTTATTCCTGAATTTTCAGGGAAACTGAATTTTCAGCATCATTACTCCAGTCTTCAGTGTCACATGATCCTTCAGAAATCATTGTAATGATTTCTGAAGGATCAGAAATCAAGAAAAAAATGTTTTTATTATTGTTGAAAACAGTTGTGCTGCTTAATATTTTTGTGGAAATCATGATTTTTTTTTTCAAGATTCTTTGAAGAATAGAAAGTTCAAATGACCAGCATTTGTTTGAAATATAAATTTTTGCAAAAAATAAATAATAAATTGAAATGAAATACAATAAAATAAAAATGAGTGTCCCCAACTTCATAGATAGCATATAGTTTTTACATATTAACATGTGTCTATGACAGGTAGAAATTGGTCCCTTAAAAAATATTTTTCTTTCTTTATTTATTTATTTATTTATATGGTCTTTGAAAACTAATGGAAATGAGCTGAGATATGAAAATGGATTAAGTACAATTATCAAGTCACCTTTATTTTACTTTATTTCTTAAGTGCTTTATACAACACAGATTGTCAGCTTATGACAATAATTATGACAAATACTTTTTTTATTTAGAGAGAGAGAGAAAAAGGAAGTTGTCATGAAAATACTTATCATCTGGCATTTCAGGTAAGCTCAGGTTGTTTCTTTAAAATGCACCAGTATAATGAACCATGTCTTCATGATCTTTCACTTCTCAAACTTCTTCCCTTGCTTCCTTCCTTTTTGACTTCTGTCACGACTGATGAAACCCTAAAATAGTGTGTGAAGGAAATGCAATGTGCAGTGAATGTAGTTAAGCTGTTTGTCTTTCCTCTTCCAAAAAACATCCTTGGCTGTGGTCCTTCTGGCATACATTACTGGCAGTGGATTAATTAAACTTTTAGCCAGTCAACAAGGATGACATAGGTTTCTAATTACTCAGTGCTTTAAAGGGGTCATATGATGCATTTTCATGTTTTCCTTTTACTTTAGTGTGTTTTGTAGCTGTTTGTGCATGTACGTATAAGATCTGCAAAGTTGCAAAGCGTAAAGTCTCCCACAAAAGGAATTTTTCTATCTAAAAGAGAAGGCTGATCCAGACTGGCCAAAAACGCCTCGATTGAATTCTCCCTCACATATCTACGTCACTATGTGGAAATATTTGCATAATACCACCAAAAACTATTGAATACCCAAGAGGTGTCGCTCGTATAGTTTTGAATGGGGGAAAAAACGAAACGCTCAATATGGCCACTCTATCTAAGGAAGCCCCGCCTTCTGAATAAAAGAGCCAATCGATAATCGGTAAAGTCATCGCGTCACTACAGCTGCCGTTAGAAGTCCCAGTTGCTATAAAAACAGTCAGCATTCTGAGACGAACGCTTAGGACTTCAAATGCGCACTGACTAGTCTAGCCTGAAAAATAAGCTATTTTTAACGCTATTTGAGCAAAAGAAACAACATTTATGAGACAGTTGTTGTCAGATTTCATTGGTGATTTCAAATATGAAATTTAATCTTAAAGGTGCAGTGTGTAAATTTTAGCGGCATATAGCGGTGAGGTTGCAAATTGCAACCAACGGCTCAGTCCCCCGCTCACCCCTCCCTTTAGAGAAGCTACGGTGGCCGATACAGGACTAAGATGTCGTAGTCTGACTCTGAGACAGCAGAGAGCCAGCAATGAGGTTTCTTTACAAAGGTAAATTAAGGAATTATATTTACTTAATTATTCAATAAAACAATATGTTATTGCGAATATTATTGTTACTTGTTCATCATTGTGTCAGTGTTTTATTCGCAAGAACAACATAGTGACGAAACGAGCTCACTATGTTGAGAACATGGTGGGCGACTTCCATGTAAGGGGACCCGCGGTGTATGTAGATATAAATTGCTCATTCTAAGTTAATAAAAACATAACGGTTCATTGTGTAAGGTCTTTATACACCTCTGAAAACATAGTTATGTATATTATATTGCATTTCTGTCAACAGATCCTCCTAAATATTACACACTGCACCTTTAAGCTTGGCGAACAGTTTTGGACAATTTAATGTTTCCCCATTCAAAGAGATAGGAGCTGCACTTGCATGCCCAAGAGGCATTTGAAAGATGGCCGCCGAGTGAAATGACTTGCCTTAAAGGGGTCATATGACGTTGCTAAAAAAGAACATTAAATAACATAAGAACATTTGGTGTAATGAAATGTGTTTATGCGGTTTAAGGTAAAAAAAAAAAACATTATTTTCCACATACTGTACATTATTGTTTCTCCTCTATGCCCCGCCTTTCTGAAACGCGTCGATTTTTACAAAGCTCATCGTTCTGAAAATGAGGTGTGCTCTGATTGGCCAGCTATCCAGTGCGTTGTGATTGGCCGAATACCTCAAGCGTGTGACGGAAATGTTACGCCCCTTACCATATGTAATG